CTGATCTCTGCTGACCCAGCTGCATGCTTTTGCTGGGAGAAACTGTGGCTGCTTAGCATAATACTTCAGTGCTGAGGACATTACTCCTGGTAAAACAGCAGTGTGTGTGGGTGGGGAGGATTAAACTGAATGTCAGAGATGTCTGGTTGTCACTGGTGGCCTTAGAAGTATGTTGCTGCATGTCTGTTTTGTCCAGCAAAGATGCAGCTAGGTTTCAATTTCAAGCACAGATGGGTGCTGTTTATCCAGCTATTTTTCTTGGCTGATGTTAATTTTCTTGTTTCTTATCTCCTCATTGCTTCTTGCAATGTCTATCTCGGTGTGGAGAGATGGGTGGTGCTGGAGGCTGTGGGGTCCGTGAGAAACTGTGAAGGGCTGATGGAATGAACAAGCAGTGTGCCTGAGTGGATGGGGGAGAAGGACAGACAGAATTGAATTTATTTTTGTCTGACCCATCTATCTCAACTCACACAGAGCTGGTTATGGTACTTTTCATAGAAATGCTTCCCACCCTTTCTTCCTCTCATTTCCTGTGGGCAACTGCTTCCCTTAATATACCCACTACTGCCTCTTGGATCCTTGCCTGTGGAAGGAAAAGAGATATCATGTATCCCTGTCCAGTGACTGCAAAGCTTGTAAGGTAGCATGTATGGAGTCAGTTGCATCAAATGCCTGTGTTTGGCTAGCTCTGGGACAGACAGAAGGTTTATGAAGAGGGCCTAGATGCTGGGTAAGCAGCCAAATATGCCTCATTCCCTCTGCTAAATGAATGTGTTTTCTACTGTAAATGCTCTTGCCCAAAGACTCCTGGAGACTTGACATGTAATAGCAGAGTCCTTTGTTTGCTGCCAGTGCAAACCACCTGGGAGTCAGAAATCTGAACTTTACAAAGTTCCAGTGGTGTTGGCAAGTTGAAGCCCAAAGTGTGTGTGCAGGGAAGGTGAGGGCAGCAGGTAATTTTTTTTACACTTTTCATTATTACAGAGCATTATATATGTGTATGCGCACATGCATATGTACATAAAGCTTTGCTTTGTAGTATAAGAATATATGTTTTTCTTCTATCCATACCAACCCTGAATCTGTAGCACCTCTTTAAAAAGAGGGGTTCAAGCCTATAACTGGTGTAAAATGTTATCTACTACACTGAGCTCTGTGTGAGTAAAGACTGCATGATCAAGCCCACAGATTGTGGGGATTATTTATTTCTTTCATATGCTTGCAAATGTATCTGAGCTGGTATCGGTGACCTAGTTTGATGTGTCTGGTTCTAAGTATCTAGACTATTTCTGTGGGAGCCCTGGCTTCTCACACAGACACCAGACAAACACAGCATCACCACAGACACACTCCTGGCCCTATTTTGGATACAGTATGAAGCAGTGCTGCTCAGCCTGTCTCAGCATTGTTCAACGGTGAAATGATCTAATGGCAAAGTGTTACACAATTGCCTGGGACAAAGCACCACAAGGGAGGAAGGGCATGGCTGCTTTCCAACTGAAGCCTTTGGGCACAATGTTATAAGGTGTGAAGAGCTTTATTCACTGTATAATAGTGTATCTGGCACTGGGGGGCTCCTGGGACCCTGTAATGGTGCCAGTGTCCCCTTTACCAGAGACTACTCAACTGCTGTGGGGGAAGTCCAAGCTAATTAGGGAGCTCTTTTAAAGGAGCTGTGCCTTTGCATGACATGCAACTTGTGCAAAGTTGTGTTTGCAGGTTTTGTCTTTCAGCCCTCCTTGTCTTCCTATGCAGAAGTGCAGCTGTACCTGCTTGTTATTGGGTCAGCTGCCTGTGCAAGGTGTGCAAGGCACTGCCTGCTGCACCCTCGGAGGCTGCTGGTGTCCACTCCATGCTTGGTCAAGAGGGGAGGGAGAGATCTGCTGCAAAGCTTTAAATCATCTGAGGGGAGAGCAGGAGCAAAGCAGTTTCAGGAAGTGCAGCATTTACTGGATGCCTGTGAGCCTGAAAGCTTTTGTTCCTTTTTGGAGTTCTTCTGGTTGGGGTACATGAGCTGGCTTGTAGCTGTCAGTGCTTTGAGCACCTCTGCCTGCCCCCACCCCAGCCACATGCCTGCCCCTGCTGCTCCCCATGGACCAGGGAGAGATGTGACACAAATAAAAGCAGGAATAGCTTTTCCCGAGTGGCAGGTCTCTGCTCCTCATTCAATAATACAAACACTTTTAACTTTTCTGACTTAACTGTTAAGTGAGTAAATCTCAAAAGCAGCGTTGACAGCACTGAGATAAGCCCAGATCTTACTGTGAGGGGGGAAGGGAACATTATTAGTAGCTATTAATCATCCTAAAAGGGTGGGGGATGGGTTCCCTGCGGTACTGAGCCCTTGTGCAGACATGTTTGCTATGAGCAATTCTGACAGGGAGTACAGGCTGGATACTGGGATATTGCAGGGGAGCAGTTTGTGGAATGTTGCATTTCAGGGAAAGTTATTTCCAGAGCTGAAGAAACTGGCTTTAAAAGCATGTTTCCTTTTGGCAAATTAACTTATCTTTTTTCATTACTGTGCATCTTTGTAGCCTCCCCTTAGGGGAGAGGTTTATATGATACTTGAGTGGATATGACTACCCCTGTGCTACCAGTGGCTCTTATCTGATGGAGAACAGCACTCGTATTTCAAATTCCTCTGAAGTGGACAGGAAAGGGGAATGTGACACCACAAGCACCAACAAAGCACTGAGATGTTACTGCGAATGCCACTCATCCCGGTGGCTCCTGGGGTTTCTTCAGGAGGCTGCATTTCAGTGTCCTTGGCTGCTCCAGCTTGGCTCCTCCAGCTTGGCTGCTCTGGCTCAGTTGCTCCTTGTGGTACAGGATCATTTCTGGCAGCCTGCCACATGTGGTGTACCTTACCAGTCTTTAAATGCAAGCTGCATGGCTAAGCCTCTGACAGCATCCCAGCAGCAGTGTTAATCCACCATTATTCTTGACTCCTTGGCAGTCTTGTCTGATAAAAAATAAATCACAGTCATAGAGTGCTGAGCTTTGTGCTCCTCACAGGGCTGAGTAGTGTGGCTCTCTCTCTCCTTTGGTAGTGGAGGAAATAAAGGCCTAAGAAACCAAGTGACAATGTGTATCCCATAGGCTCCTTCCAGTGTAATGATATCTTTAGGTATCTATCTCATGGCTTCCAAATCTGGTGGGATTATGGGCAACTTTTGGTGCTCGAGATTTCTTCATGGCTGCTAGCTGTCCCTGTCACAAGGTTTACATGAAGGTACTCTCAGGGCAACTTCCTCTGTTTGTAGTCTGTTGACAGCATTGAAAGTGGTGAGCAGGTAGACAGACACTATTCAATTGACCCATCTGAAGGTCTTAGCGTTAACGTTGAGCAGCTTGTTGAACGTGGACATCTGTGATACAAATCTGTGTCCTTCCCTTTTCAATGAAATACTGTCCTAGTAGAGAGATGAGAAAAAGAAAGTATCTTGTGATTCATTTTTTTTTTCTGGCTAGGGAAAATATCCCACTATAGCTGTAAGGAGATGGTTTTGGTCTAGGGAAAGCAGTGATTGCAGCTAATGTCTGACACCTCTAGGAGGTGAATGTTTCCCTTGGGAGGAATGATTTGCCATCCAATCCCACATTAGGTGGACTCCCTAATTCATATGAAAAATGTTTATTTATGTCTGACAGCTCTGCTGAGTTTGCTCAGCTGCTTTCCAGCATGCTGAAACCTAACAGAAGGCCTTGAATTAATACCAGTTGCAATGCACTTGTAAATGAGGTGTGCCTCAGCTGCAAGGCATGTTTTAATCAGTACTCATGTCTGGGAGTGGCCCACTCTTCCCATTTCCTCTGCCTGTTAAGTATTTGATGAAAGCCCACAGTAGTAATTATGCTCCTTCCACAAAGTCATTAAAACTGCACAAAATCTTACATATTGTTTGGAAAACCACAAACAAATATGACATTCTTCACACTCTGCTCAGGCAATAATTTTGGCCCGGAGAGGTCTCTGTTGTTAAGGGAACACCTTTTTCACTGAAGAAGGGAAAAAATAATGAGCTGTGTAGCTGATTTGCTTGAAAATGCCGGATTTTAGCTGGGACCTTGTTTTTTATGAGGAGTATCCTACCAATGGCATTGCTGCATAGTGTCTTCTGTCTGGGATCCCACTGAGAATACCCTGAGCTCCTTATCATCAGTCATTTCTCAAGCCACACCTCTTTAGCAGTGCAGTGGTGTATCTGGGAAGCAAAGAACCTTGTGTGTAGAGGAAAGGGAGAGGCAAGATGGAAGAGTATCAAGGTGAGCTGTGATCAGGCTGGAGATGACTTCTACTTTTTCAGGAAGTATTGTCAGATTGTGGTTTAAGAATGAAATTTCTGTTGCCTTTCACCATTCCTGTCTGCTTGTAAAATCAAGCACTGCTTTGGATTGAATTCACTGAAGTTGGTGAGTGTTGCAGCTGTTCCTGGATAAAACCAGTTTATTACAATAAAGAAGCAATCCAAAATCTTGAGCCCAAACCTTTCTTCCAAGGAAGGAAGCAAATGAGATTGTGATGCAAATTATGGTGTTTGTGATTGGTGTTGACTGTGTTGCAATAACTTTGGTACTCCTTTCTGTTGTTCTTAAAGGCTCAGACTCTCTGGCTGTCCTTAGCTCCTTCTCTTTTGGAGAGCATTTCTCTGTCCAGGGAGAAACAGAGCTGCTTTCTGCATGTCCTTGCTCTCCAGCACAAAGCCAATTGCCTTGTGTGAAAACACATTTTTTATTATTTACCTCTTGTCCTCTCCTCAAATTCCTATCTGTGGGTGCCAAAACAGAATCCTGCTCTTCAGTAATACTGAGGAGTACCTAAGAGACCTAGAGCCAGACAGATTTTTGCTGAGAATTTACTTCATGTAGTTTTCACCTCTTTGCTTCCAGGTACCAGTGAGAAAAGCCCTGAGTGCTCTAATTGTTTTTTAGTTGTTGCTATGGAAAGCGCTTCCCCGGAAAGTCCATTCACTCTTTTTGTTTTCTCTTAGGTGACTCCAGGAAGCAAAGCTGCCATAGCCAACCTGTGTATAGGAGACCAGATCATAGCCATTGATGGAGTGAACACAGATAACATGACGCACCTTGAGGCGCAGAACAAAATCAAGGGTTGTGCAGATGAGCTAACTCTGACGGTCAGCAGGTAGGTCACTGGGCAAGACTGGAGGTGGGGAGAGGGGGGCTGGGGGTTGGGGAGTAGCAATTTTTTTGTTTGACAGCAGACCTATAGTTTATTTAATTTGAAATAATCACAGAATTTTTGGAGTTGGAAGGGACCTTAAAGATCATTGAGTTCCAGCTCCCTTGCTTGGGCAGGGACATGGCATCTCCCACTAGAACAGGCTGCTCAGAGCCCCATCCAACCTGCCCTTGAACGCCTCCAGGGATGGAGCCCCCACAACATCTCTGGGCAGCTGGTTCCAGTGTCTCTTCACCCTTACACTGAAGAATTTACACCTGATGTCTAACCAAATCTCTCTTCTTTCAGCTTAAAACCATTACCCCATGTCCTCTCACTGCAAGCCCCTGTAAAAAGACCCTCCCCAGCTTTCCTGTAGGCCCCCTTCAGGTACTGGAAGGCTGCTATGAGGTCCCCCCGGAGCCTTCTCTTTTTTAGACTGAACAACCTGAACTCCCTCAGCCTGTCCTCATAAGAGAGGTGCTCCAGCCCTTGGATCATTTTCATGGCCCTTCTCTGGACACATTCCAACAGGTCCACATCTTTCTCTTAGTGCTTTGTGTGGCTAGGCACAAAGTCGTTAACTTTATAGCTACCCTATCCTCTTGATCTGAACCAGCACTTCTCAAAGTCAGATGGTAGATGCAGTATGGCATTTCTAGTTGCTCTGGAGTGAATTTTTCCTGTGGCTGCCTTCCCCCAGCGTGACCATCCATCAGCTCCACAGCAGACGCTGAGGAAGTGCTTTCAGAAGGAGTACAAAAGCATGCCTTAAATGACGCAGTGGTTCAGTAGTTTGGGGCTTTTCTGCAATAAGGATAAATCTTTTACCACAGCTTGGATAATGCCAGTAGTTCAGCAGATGTTTCCCAGTTCAGGAAAAAGTGATGGGTCTTGGCCAAAAAAAAGCCTGACAATTCACTGACAGAATTCACTGAGGGAAGAAACGGAACAGGTGGTGTGAATGGGTAGTGAGCATTGCAGGAGCCTTTTAGCCCAGGGTGTCTCATACTGGCCTTTAACTTGGCAGCCTGTATTCTTTCTGTCAAGGAGTGGTCCTTTTCCTCTCCAAAATATCTGGCTGCTTGACTTAGCAAACCAGTGCCATGTGGTTCTGGCTGGGAGAGAAGAGGGGAAGCTCTTTCAGCCTGCAGGCAAGCTCACTCTTACAGATCATTGAGTCTGTAAAATGTGTTTGCTAATGTTAATTACAAAGTCGTTAACTTTATAGCTACCCTATGCATGTTTCATGGGCCTGGGGTGTGGAAGCTACCCGGGAAGAGATTTCTAGCTGGTTGTGCAGCTGTGTAAAACTGCACAGGGGTTTTGAGTTCACACAGTCCAACTCTTTTTCAAGAACCCCTTTTCAATGAGGTAGCATGAGTGTGTGTTGGACGTTTCTGCTGCTGCACTGAGTGATGCTAACAAAATGGCCAAGGAGAGTGTCAAGTGCAAGGACATGAAAGCAGTGATCTGACTACTTTTCCACTCTAGGATTTCATATATTTCATACCTGTTGCTCTATGTAAAGTCGATTTTAGGTGAAAGGCCTAGGGAACAAGTCTTATGAGGAGCAGCTGAGGGAACTGAGGCTGTTTAGTCTAAAGAAAAGGAGGCTGAGGGGGGACCTCGTTGCCCTCTACAACTACCTGGAAGGACATGGTAGAGAAGTACGTGCTGGTCTCTTCTTACAAGTAAATAGTGATGGGACAAGAAGGAATGGCCTCAAGCTGCACCAGGGGAGGTTTAGGCTGGTGTCACAATTTGACTTGGGATCGACAAATACTTTTGTTCGCCAATTTTGCCGTCTGTCTAGTCTGCTTCTCCCTACAGGGGGGCTGCAGGTATGACTCTTCTGCTACTTTAGTATCTGAGGCTGCAGATTCAACAAGCAGAGCAAAATGTCCTTGATGTCTCAGCAGTAATATAAACATTTAAGTGTTATCAGTCTGCTAGCTGGAAAACTTGCTGCTAATTGAACAAACTTGCTTCAGTGAGCTAGAGCTCATTGAAGAAAAAAAAAAATCAGTAAAAAGAAAATTGGCTTCATCCTGGCTCAACCCAGGACAGCTGGACATGAGGAAAACATTTTTCTCTGAAAGGGTTGTCAGGCATTGGAACAGGCAGTCCAGAGAGGTGGTTGAGTCACCATCCCTGGATGTGTTTTAAAGTCGTATAGATGTAGTGCTTGGGGATGCAGTTTAGGAGTGAACATGGGAGAGCAGGGTTAAAGGTTGGACTTGATGATCTTGCAGGTCTTTTCCAACCTAGGTGATTCTATGATTCTAGGGCACCTTAAGTCTTTGGTCCTCCTCCTTCTTTGGGAGCAAAGTTTTGCTGAGGGAAGAATTGCTTACTTGTTTGGAAACTTGATAGTTTAGAGAGATGAGTTTGTATTGGACAACAGGATACTGCAGGAGGCTTTCTCAGAGGAGAAAGCTCTTCTTTAATGCAAAAGGACAGTAGTGTGCATCGTGTGGTCTTTCCTGGTTGTACTCTGTTGAAAGTATTTTATCCCTAGCACACAGCTTTCTCTTTCTGGGCCCCTGTAACTGTGCTGTCCCAAATGCAGCTGGACTTGGTAGTCCAAAATGCAATGTAGTCTTTGTTCCTGAGGCTGGAGCCCTTCTTTACTTTGCAGACTAAGGCAATCACCTTAAAAACTTGAGAGGAGGCCTAAGAGGAGACAGAAGGCATTTTAAAACAGTTAGAGCCCATGATTCACCTTCCTGCTCAACTTAGGTAGAGAAAATGGGTGAGGAAAGCAGGCTATGGTTGGTGGTCAGTCTTCCTCTGTAAGAAGGGAAGAGCATAGCTATGGAGTTGGTGAAGGTGGAAGACACTTGGGAAAATTAGTGCCACATTGCCAGGTGGTATAGCTTGGGCTTCCTCCACTCTTGTGGGCCAAGCTCTGTCAGTAAGGCTTGACCATGCGTAGTTAGTGGGGAAGGCTGACTGGAGGTTTTTCCTCTATCAAAGTAGCTCTGTAATTAGTTGGCTGAGTATGAAAAGGAAAGTGTATAATTTGCGCTTCAGTGCCACCAACTCTTGGGTCTGGTCTTCATGCTCTGCAGTTGTAGCTCCTTAGCTGAATCAATTGTACAAAGTAGATGTGCTGGCAAAGACCACTGCTCTGTCAGAGCAGTGACTCCTGGGTTGGAGCATCATGCACAGCTGGTGCTGAGGATGTGCCCAGATGTGCCAGGTATTCCAGAGTGTCTTCCTCTCTTCCTTTTCTGCTTACCATCTGATGAAGGCATAAGTTGTTAAATTGTTTTATTTTCTTATATGATTAATTTTAAATTATTACTCATTTTAATTATTACCTGTGCAAAATGCTCTCTGACCTGCATTTGGGGTGGCAGCAAGGTCATACCAAAAGGTATGTTAGACATGGATCTGAGCTCACATCAGGTGTTTCAGTTCCACCAAAGCAGCAACACTGTTGTGACAGTAGAGACTTAATTTGTGACTGTGCTGTGAAGGTTAAAAGTGCACATCGGCTCAAGAGGAGACTGGATGAATTAATGGAAAACAAATCTATAAAGGATATTCTGTCCCATGGCAGTATCTCTGCTGCAGAAAGCCCTTAAGCTGCAAGTAGCTGGAGGCTGGCAGGGTGTTTTTGGGAAGTATTGCTCTATGCTTGTTGTCTTCTTTTGCTCTTCTGTAGACCAAAACCAACTTCATATGTGTGTGTTCTGCAAATATGAAACCCTCTTCTCTTTTAATGGTAGCCAAGCAGTTGAGATGTCTTCATGTTTGGCTGTACTAATGATTATTTAAGAAAAGTGTAAATGTATAGAATTGAAAGGACTTTAAACACTTCTGGTAAAGGAAATGCTGTTTGTGCTGTGTACTTGATTGTGAATATCAACAGCATTCCAGTGTTTCCTGTTTTGGTATGTTCCTTAATCATGGTAACAGTCCAAAAATATTTCAGATCAGATTCTAGGCAGGAAATCTAATCTAACACATCACCATTAAAAATGGATCAAATTACTGGCTGAAGAAAACATGTGTGGTCTGCTTTTTCACCCAAGGGTGTGAATCTATTAGTTTCTTAGAATTTAAAACCCAGCCACAAATTGCTTTGCCTAAATATGCTTTTCTAAGTGGCACTGCCAGGTGCTTTGCTATTTGATGTGTGAACAGATTTGGAAAGGTCTGTTTTCTGCCTCAAAAATAGGTGTTCAACAATGTTGGCACGTACACCAAATTCCTGCTGATCTTAGGCTGTCTAGCAGCTCCCTGCTCTTTTCTGAGCCTGTTTGCTAATTCATTTTACTTCTTGTTTCAGGCTAGAGAGTGTTTTCAGGAATGTAGTTCCCAAGAAACCAAAGTTAAGGTTTCATTATTGTTTTCAGCTGTGTAAAATCAAGATCAGCACCATGATTTTGTATGATACATGCAGGGACTGACCTACAGCAGACAGTGTGCTTCAGTCAACCCAAAACCACCTGGTTGCTAAAGTAAGAAATTTCATGGGCAGATTTTTTGAGCCTCCCCCATTCACAAGAAAGATGAAGTTTTGGATCTTTAGTCTTCGAGAAGAGCTGCTGCTCTGTATTTATTTATTTATTTATTTATTTATTTTCCCTTCTTCAGTTAGGATGTGTACATCATTGCACTGATATTTTAGGGTCCAGCAAAGCCTCACCCCAGGCTGCACCCCTTTCTCTGATTTTCCTTTAACAGAGGAAAGCAGCAAGATGTGCTCAACAGACTGGAGAGATTTTATCAACTTCTTTTGGAAACAGTGTATTTTGGGAAAGATGCTTGCTCTGAAAAAGAATGCTCAAAGAAGTGAAAGCTCAGGAGGAACTGATTTTCATAGCACAATATTCACCTGATAGCCAAGAGATCCAAGCGTGACCATTGTCAGTGGTAATGCTCATGACAAATTTGACACACAGCTCTGTGTAGCTATAAGTTGTAGATGTACAATAGCAGACAAATGTTAA